TCTATATACAAGTCCGGAAATAGCACTGATTATTTAAGGGCGGTCCGGAAGTACTCAAAAAGTGCGGAAATTCCGCATAAAAGTCCGGAATTTATTTCATTTTTTGTCATCTTTGTCTCAGTTTGAGAGAGAAATTCTTTTTCGAATATCGTCGATTAGAGGTACTGAACCGTACTGAAATTTTCTGCTGAGGAGGTACTGAATTTCTTGGTAATGTACTGAATGAAAGAGCACTGAAAAAGTACTGTGAAAGTACCGATTTAGTAGACACCCTATTAGTCCATCATTGCACCCCTTAGTCTATAAGAACCACCCGAATTAACCATTAGGATCGCTCCATACTTCCTATGTCTTCTTTTCTATCACTTTGTCTATCAATTTCAACAATCAGCCTTCAGACCACGTGCGGCCTTCACAGTTCATGTCCAAGTAGAGTTACTGCTCTCATCCGTAGAAACACAGAAGACATTAGACAGAAAAGAAAAGTCGTGTCATGGAAAACAGCCGTAACTCCATCGGGGGTTAAGCCACGGTTAGCACGCGCTTTTACTCGCTTCGAGGCTCACTCATACCGGAGTTTTCCGTGGACTCGGCAAAACAGACGGACCGAGACCGATACAGCATCCGAGCCCTCGGGTTAATTAAATCCCCTTTTCTCCGAAAGTGCGAATTTTCCCCCGCTGAAAGCCCGGCTCATCCCTCTCGCCAGGGCGCCTTGTTTTATTTTTAGGGATTTTTTATCCTTTACGGAGCATAAAACTGCCGTGCCGAGGAAAAACGCCTTATGAGCCTTCAGGCGTTGCCACCCTCTGGAAAAAAACACATCGGATCTAGAGTCCAGACTCTTGAAAACATTGACAAAAAAAAGGACTCTTGACTCAATCAGATCTAAGCTTAAATCAAAAGGAAATCCGCTCAAATTAAGAGGCTTGGTTCTTGATTTAAGCTTAAATCTGATTGAATCAAGAGTATTTTTTCTTGTCGATGTTTTTAAGAGTCTGGACTTTAGATACAATGTGTGTTTTTTTCCAGTGCGTTTCTCCTAGCCAATCACCAATTTTTTCAGGAAAAGTTTTGAATATTTGTCTACCAATTTCGCGGATAATTTGCAGGGTGTCTAGCATCAGGAAACACTGGAAAATATCAGGAATTTTGGCCGATCCGGGAAAAATCAGGAAAATCGGAAAAATCGGACGTTTTATTAGGAATTTTCCTCACGCGAATCTCCCCAGCGGAGAAGTCTCACTGCTTTTTGCCTACCGTGCCAGGAGTTGAGAAAAATCAGGAAAATATCAGGAATTTTCCAAGTAAAAAAAATCAGGATTTTTTTCTATAAAATATCAGGAAGAATCAGGAAAATATCAGTATTTTTCGAAATTAAAAAGTACTTGATACCCTGATTTTGTTTGTAATTTGATCTAAAACTTCTGAAAATCTCGAGGAAAAACATTCCTAAATTTCTTCAAAAATAAAAATTTTATCGAAGGAAATTTTGCAACTCTCGAATATTCATACGGCGTTCTTCCTTAGCACGGTGGAAAAGCCGTTTGATCCCTCGTTTTCCGCGTCTTGCCTGCCCCGGAATCCAAGGTCCTTTCCTCGGAATAAAGGACGTATCTCCCCTCGCGGATGAGCCGCGAAAAGCATGGAGTTATATGGACTGGAGGGCTCATCCGAGAGTTTAGATACGCTGTTTGGTCTGCGGAACGACGCTTTATTCATTATTCGAGGAGTTCTCGAGATCGGATTTCGATGATTCGCGAGATTGCGGAGTTATTCAGTCGGCCGTTGTCTTTGTCTTTCCTCGCAGCGCGGCACGAGGGCTTTCCGACGGGTGTGGTACTCGTTTTATCGTCTTGGACTCTTTGTAGTTTACCTTTATGGGGAGGATTCGAGCGTACAGAGGGGTTGAGAAGTGGGGCTGAAATGGTTCGGAAAAAATTAAAATTGAAATTATAACATGTGCAGTACAGGGACCGTTAAAGTATTTCGTAACCAGGGTTGCCACAGCCCGGGAATTTTGAGAAGTCAGGGAAAATCTAGAAATATCAGGTAAAATAACGAAAATGTCGAGGAAAAATAGTTAAGCCACCCTTATTTGCTCTCTAGTATGGGTTTAATGTTTCGAACAACACATTTTGCCCAAAAACTATTTTTAGTTACACTGGAAAGTAGAGTCTAGACTCTTAGAAACACCGACAAGAAAAAATACTCTTGATTCAATCGGATTTTTGCTTACATCAAGAACCAATCCTCTTAATTTGAGCGGATTTCCTTTTGATTTAAGCAAAAATCTGATTGAGTCAAGATTATTTTTTCTTGTCAATGTTTTCAAGAGTGTAGATCTAGATCCAATGTATTTTTTTCCCAGTCTATGTCTTTTCGACCATCTGGCTTATCTTCATTGGTCAGGGAATTTCGCCAAAATGTGTCAGGGAAATGTGAGGGAATTTCATTTTCTAGATTTGGTGGCAGCCCTGCGTAACGCACTTTTTGATTTGAATTCGGGTGTTCAACTCGACCGACTGATGTAATTGTTGAGTTTTGCAGCTCCAAAACTGAGGCGCTTCTCTTGTCATTGTCGTCAACCGCGAATATTGGAACGCAGAAATTCCCACCCACTGCATTGTTGATGCAGTGATTGCGTAATTTGGTGCCCTTTTTCTACTGGTGTACATATATGTTGCTCACATCTTGTGTTTCTGTTTTGATCGTGGAGCCGGAACTTAAGGGCCATAATGTTTTGACCCGCAACACTCGGCAGTCGCAAATCAGCGCAACTGGCTCCAAGGCTTTTCCCTGAATAATTTGCCTCTGCTCATTGTGAGGTTCCCTTTCTCAAAGACGCCTTGTTAAAAATTGGCTATAAGAGCCGCGTTTCAAAATACCATAGGAATTCTTATAGCCGGCTAAGAAGGCTACAGAAAATCATATAGCTGGCTGTAGAATGCGGAGAAAATCATACGGCCGGGCCGTACGAAGTGATAAAAAATTATGCAGCCGGGCTATAGTTCCTATCGCCTGGTTGTTGCTTTTTCGCCATCGATTATAAAAGGCCCTAAGAAATTGTGTAGAAATTCGTCTGCTTTGGAAATCATTAAGTTTGATACGGAACCACCTTAATATTTACAAAACACACATTATATTTTCCTTCATCACATATTTTTTTTTTTCATCAATTAAAATGAGAATAATCCATACAGGATGTGCAAACATTTCAAAATCATGAGTTGAATAACGCTGACTCAGCCAGATTACACATTAGAGCCTAACACAAAGCAGAGCGGCGACGCACTGGCGCCTACAAACCTAACAGGGATACTTCACGCATTGCGCAACGCATGAAGTATCCCTGTTGGGTTTGTAAACGCCAATGCGCGTTTCGCGCTGGCTGCCCGCCTGCCGCGCCTCAGCGTGCCACGGCGCTTGAAGCAACTATTTCACACCAGAGGTATTGCACAGTATCATACGACACTGAAGGCGCTCTAATATATTAGTAATGGCAGGCATCCATCAAAAGTACGGAGCTTTCCTCGCAAAATAAATCAAGATACTACGGCCCAAAAAGAGAGCAGTATTCCAAAAACTCACCAAGTCCTAGCATCCGTAATTAGTAACGTTTAGCATACACTTTATCGCCAGGCTGTATTGCCTAATCGCCATCGGCTATAAAAGGCTATAAGAAATTGTGTAGCCGGCTATAGAAGCTATTGGAAATCTTACAGCCGGCTGTAGGTCTATGGTATTTTGGAACACAGATTCTACTGTCAATTTTTACCAGGGTAACTATATTTCGATGTTGCCGAATGTCCCCTCGCAAATTGCACTTTTACAGAAAGATTCTTGGCCTTTTCGAATTGAAAATTTTAATAATATTTCGATGTTGCCAAATGTCCCCTCGCAAATTGCACTTTTACCGAAAGATTCTTCGGCTTTTCAAATTGAAAATTTTAATAATTTTCCTCCTGATCTCATGCGAAAATCAGAGAAATGAACAAAAATTTCACCGGCACACTCGTGTAAAAAATCGTATTGTTTAAGCCCATTCTGAAACATTGGAATGGAGTCGTGTTTTCTCGTCCGAAAAACGGCGATTTCGTCACCTGCCGGCCACAGCATCACAAACGCCATGCGAAGTTTGATAATTTCCAGCCCCATTTTATTTTTCTTCTGAGAATATGTTTCATGAAGCTATGAAAGGCATGAATTTTCGGGGAAAAATTCAAAATTCACTGAAAAAAAGTTCACTGAATTTTCTTTGTGCTACCGATAAAATTTAGTGAAATCCCCTAACAGAGTCAATCAACTATTTCTCTGTAAAAAAAAAATGACGGCGGAAATTTTTAAACGTTGCATGGCGCTTGTGATATACCGGCCGGAAAGTGACGATTTATGGTCGAATCATTCTTTTTTTCCTCCATGTTAGACCTCCAAAGAGAGCGAAAGAAATCAAAACCGGCAATTTACAAAATTAACTTGTATTGACAATTATTTTACAAGAGGAACAATCGGGTATTGATAAACAGCTATTTTGTTGTTAATGTTCAGTCTTAGCTATCTGTATGAATATCGACAATGGGTCAGTTGCGCTGGCCACAATATCCTGTTTTGATCAGCTTAAAATAAGTAGATCCGTCTAAACAGCAATTTTCTAAGTTCAATATTAACCTACATATCGCCCTTTGAAAAGTCAAGTTTTTGACTTCATCCACCGCGGTAGTGATACCCTTGGTGGATGACGTCAAAAAATCGACTTTTCAAAAGCGATATCTCGGTTAAAATCGAACGTAGAAAGTTGCTGTTTGGATAGATCTTATTATCTTAAGCTACTGTACAAGAATCAAGCATCAAAACTCGATTCCGTGACCAGCGCAACTGACCCATTTTGCAACCTTGGAAGGATTCATGTTCACTCGTCCGGAAAACGGCGATTTATGGTCGAGTCTTTGTATTTTTCCATCGTCTAGAACTTCTAAAGAGAGCGAAAGAAAGCAAAACCGTCAATTTACAAAATTAACTTGTATTGACAATTATTTTACAAGAGGAACAATCAGATATCGATAAATATAGCTGTTTGTTTCAGTCTCAGCTATTTTTATGTATACCGACAATTACATTACAACAGAATATTCAGGCACGCATCATTTTCATTTCTTCGACTTTCCTTTTCGTTTCTTTCCTTTCGGGGGCTCCTCCCCCTCCATGAGCTGTTTGGTCGGCTCGTCGAGCCACGTGTTCCCGCTGATCTCGTCAGGGATGACCAACTGGTAGAGGAACGCGTACTTCTTGGAGGCCGAGAACTTCTTATGGTAAGTCTTGTAGGACAGCCCGACCAACTCCTGCCCCGTTGTGGCCTCGTACCACTCCTCGAACATGGCCCAGACTTTTTTGATGGTGAGCGAGGAGTCCTTCAAATACCTCTTGTCCGTCCCGTCGAGACCCTGCGTGGAAGGGAGGGTGGCCAGGTGCTCCTCGGCCGAGTCCCAGAGGTTCTGAGCTTTCAGCTTCGGGCGGGAACGGGAGTGTTTCCCGCGCCGCTCGACGAAGGAGTCGCCGTTTCGCGTTTTCTCCTGGATCACGCGCAGTCGCTTCTCGGAGATTTGGTAGAGTTTGAGCAGGAATTTCTGGCAGCATTGGATTTCGGTGCCGTTTGGGTTGATGGTGTACCTGGAATACGAAGCGGGTCGAGTTAGTCAACAGTTCTAGAGCAGCGGGTAGAGTAACTATATTGAGAGAGTATGGCCACTGGGGTTACCACTTCTGATTGGCTCAGCCATCTTAGGCTGAATGGAGCCCTTAGGACCCAAAAATGGCGGACGCCATAAATTAATGTAATGCAAAATGACTCAAAATGTAGTTTTCTTTGCTTCTCGTAACGAGAAATTTACTCAAATGCACTCTTGCGACTTCTTTACATATTTTTGAGACTAATCGTGTGCAATTTTTGAGAAGAATTATCTTGAATGTAGTAAGGTTGGCAGTAAGTACGGTTGGTGGTAACCGTCAAAAGTTGGCAATGACCCCCCTCCCATCCACAAAAACCAAAACAAAGCACCGCCATTTTTGGGTCCTAAGCCTCTCCATGGGGCCCAGTGGCCATACTCTCTCAATATAGGTACTCTGGCAGCGGGCTGATTGTTGAAATTGATAGACATAGCTATAGACAAAGAAGACATTTAGGTGTATGGAGAGATTCTGTTGGTTGAAATGGGTGATTCCTATACCTCCGTGCTGTAAGGAAGAACGCCGTATGAACATTCGAGAGTTGCCAAATTTCCTTCGATAAAACGTTTATTTTTGAGGCAAGTTATGGATATTATGGCAAACTGAATAGTATCCAAAACGTTGCTCATCAGCCGTCAAAGGAGCCTTTTCTTCGCGATTAAACTAGACGCCTCAAAAAGGCTCACAGACGCCTTTCTCAACCTTCCTAAATCCAACGGCCAACGGGGTGGGCTTGAAACTTAGAAAACCTCTTTTTTGGCACTTCGCTTTCATCGTGGGCGAGAAGATTTGGGCGAAATAATCGGGATTGAAAAAGCATCGCTCCTCTGGCGTAAGGGCGCATCACGATCTCCGCATGATCCCCAGAGAACAGGGATTCAGGTGTAAAACAGGACTCACGAGAAAATCGTTAAACGCCCTTACGTCAGAGGGGCAACGATAATCTTGGCAGGTAAACTTAGAAACCGGCAACAGCGCAGAGGCAAAGTTAGGCGCCGCGCAACTGGTAAAGTTAAAATTGATGGGACGGCGACACTAATAGAGATCGCCGCAAATCCCTTCTCCTTGATCGGTGGTTTCACCACAAAAACACGCAGCCCCGAAACTTTCCCCGCCATTTTCTTTTAATATTTTTAATTAAACCGGAATGACCCGAAATCTCGATCGCCCGGGTTGGAAAAACAAGCTCGGGCCATAAAATGTTAAAATTATGATCACATTTTATTCTCTCACGAGAGAAACAACTGGCGTTCTTGTTCGAGCTTTTCAAGAGATACAGATCAAGGAAAATTTCCGGGGGTTATTCCTCGCATTTCTCCGGGTGATCAATAACGTAGAGAGGACGTCGAATGTTCGAACACAGACGAAAGTTTTTCTCTTCGATGCTAGGGTTTCCCTTTAAAAATCTCGAAACTGAGAAAATTATTTGTGTTCTTGTGTTACTTAAGGGTAAAATAGGCAGGGAAATACAAAGCATCCCAAATTGTATGTTGATTTTGATACACTTTGCGGAGAAATTAGCACTGAATACAATGTAAAAACTGCGAAACCATAGAATGAACCAAAGACCTGGGTTACTTCATGTTTCGCTTCCCATAATAAGACCTAGTTGTGTTATAGTGTGTTATCTCAATAGGAATCATTTTGATAAAATTGTTTTTCTCCAGACGGAATGATGTCGTCACCTTCCAGGCAAAGTATCACAAGCGCCATGCGACGTTTAAAAATTTCCGCCGCCATTTTATTTCTTTACTGAGAAATTGTTGGTTGAATCTGTTTGGAAATTTCACTTAATTTTATCGGCAGCACAAAGAAAATTCAGTGAAATTTTCGGACAGCTTTGTTGAACAATTTCTCTGTATGAAAATAAAATGGCGGCGGAAATTTTTAAACGTCGCATGGCGCTCGTGATACTTTGCCTGGAAGGTGACGATGTGACTTAATTTCAACGTTGCCAATATTCCTTTTGCAAATTGTATTCTTTACAGGCAACTAGCAATCATTTTTAGCTGGAAATTTCACAGATTTTTCACAGATTCAGAAACAATTGGATAGGTACATTTTGCAATATGGAACCACTATCTCCTCGTCCACGGAAGCGCCAGTCAGCATAAAAAACTATTGGCACTTACGTTGTTTCTAAAGTGAGCCAGAAATGCCCGTTGTTTATCGCAAAATGTAGTCAGATTTTTAACTAGCCATCCCGAAAAATTGATCACCATAGGTCAAAGGTGACAGAAATGTCACGCTCTTGTTTTGTAGACCCCCTTACATTTTTTTTGGAAATCGAAATTAATTTCAACGTGGACCAGCCCCCTCCCCTCCCATCCACGCTTATGTCATTAATAATCAGTGGCGTGGCATGCTTTGCGATATATCGACTGTTATGCTATTTAAACCTATAGAAAAGGATCAATCAACAGGGTTTTCGCAGCGAGCACCTTAAAAATCGATTCTTTACCACAGGTTCAAGTGGCACAATATTCGATAGATCGCAATTCACGCCACGCCACTGTTAATAATAAAAAAATGGTGGAAGATAATTTACCTCCAAAGGAAATTCCGGTTCCTTTTCGGTTCGACTTTGACGGTGGCCGGCGGTCTGAACTCGATCAAGCTGGACAGATACTCGTCTTGAGCGGCCTTGTCCATCGTGTTCTCCCAGAGGTCCCAAAGTTTCCGTTGGTCGTCCTTGGGAACTTTGTCGTGGCACAGGAGGTAGCAGCACTGCGTCACCGGCACGAAAGGTCTCGGCGAAAGTTCGCGGTCTCGGCCCTCGAGGATGAAAGGCCCTGGGTCGGGGTCCTCGACGACGGTTTTGGGTTTTTTGGGTTGCGAGGGTCCGCTGTCGTCCTCCTCCGCCTCGAGGATGCTCCGAGCGACCTCGTTCAGGAGCATGAGTTTGTCCATCGCCATTTTGGAATGACGTCACCGATGACGGACACACGTGGGTTCTGCTCGTGGTAAGTCGGGCACTGATAAGAGGATCATTCGCGTCTCGAAAGCGTTCGTCACGGACGTGTCGAAGAGATGTTTTCCGTGTCGCCTCGATTGGAAAATAAATCAGCGGTATCACTGTTTAGGTTAAAGTTGGAAAAAATTGAGTTTTTTTCGTTAATTATGACGGATATTTGGGTTATGTTTAACGGAAACGACTCTAGTGCTGGAACAAAACTTTTCTCTTCAGTTGGATGATAAAATGGATCTGTTGCGCTCAAGAGATTCGGCCACTTGTATTTTTGAGAGTGTTTTAGACATTTTTGATGTGTTTAACGTAATTTTTGAGATTCTCTGTAAAGTCGTCTCTTTTGGCTCAATTACCAAGTCGATTCTCTGCAAATTATTGACTTCATTTTGCACTAAGTGACTTTTCTGGTTCATTCCAGAAACAACCTATCGGTAAACCCATTTCACGCACACAAGTGCTGATGCTGGTGAGTCAAAAATAGTGGTCCCTTACAGCAAAATGTGGTCCAAATAGAGTCATCTATGACCCCGTAATTGAACTACATTTTGCAAAAAGGAACACGTGTTTCTGGCTCACCCATGAAAGCACCTATCTGGATAATTGCTCAAAGGTTGTTGCTCTATTGAGCCAAGAAGTAGTAGTTGCTTTTTGCTAAGTATAGTCAAATCGCAGACCAAAACATTGCTAGGCAAAGAAAGCGCTCGAAAAAGCAGCGTTGCCTTGTAGTTTTCACCTCTCATTTGCAGTTGAGTACCTACATAGGGAGAGTAAGGACATGGTTGTAAGTTTAGAGGTCAGGTTATGGAGCTCTTAGGGCCCAAAAGGACAGCCAACCTTATAGAACTATTACAATCGATACGCCACATTGTTTGTAGACTTAGTTTTTGCTTAAATCTACTAATTTTATGAGAAGGACGCTCATCTATAAACATTCATGGCCGTTTTGCTTTAATTTTAGAATCTGAAGATTGGCAGTGGCATTTTTCTGGTGTTCTTCGTGTTAGAAGGTTGGCTGCCCTCTTGGGCCCTACGAGCTCCATATTTCGACCTATCCGTACTCTCCCCATACAGTCACTCTAATTGGATGTATTTCTATCAAACGGAATTATGTGCATTAAGACATGGGCCCTGAGACCCATGAGAAGATATGCATAACAGAGCTCACGTTATAATGCATATAGTTTCGTTCGACAGAAACACGTCCAATTTGCAGCGTGCAAACTCGCCGAATCTCTTATGTGCAACAGACCCAATGAATAATCAACGTTAAGACCTGCTGCGTACCAGCTAGGTAACACCAGCTCTGAATACTTTACCTACAGATTCGAACTGGAAATATCGTATCACGCGGGAGGACACCACACCGAACACTGAAATCGACTACCGCGGACACCTATCACCACAAAAACAAGGAACAATCAGCCGGTTTCACTGCGGAGTTATCGTCTGGAAGGATCCACGTGCGGACATGTCAGGCGACTAGGCTGCAGCAATGGCCGTCGTCGGGTCGCCGCCGGATGGCGCGGGAGCCGCGGGGAGGTCGTGGGGCATCCCCTCTCCTCGAAAACGGGCGTGTGGCCGCATACGCCCCTCTCGCGGAGCCCGGCTCCGCTGCGCTGTTGCCGCGTTGACACGGCTGGGGAAATGTGATCTTCCCGCGCTGCGACGCGAGTCTGGGGCTCAAGGTCGCCGTGCCCGCTAGAGTCCCTTTATACCCAGAGTTAAGACAACTCACTTTTGGTTGGGCTGAAAGTGGCCTAAAAAAAAATCCAATTCTGATTGGTTCTCGCTCATGGAGGCCGAAACGAGTGCACCAAGATGGCGGTACCTCGAATGTGAACAAGAATAATGAAAATATTACCTAATTGTGGTTTATCAAGAGTAAATTGTTATTTCCATCGGTCCAAAATGAAAATAGATTAAGAAATTATTCACTAACCAATCTCATTTTCTTTTTATTTGATCAATTTGTTGATGTTGTTGTTTTGTGTGACAGACATCGCAGGAGTCCTGATCCTTATCCCTCAATATCGTTCGTTTGGGTGCACTCGTTTCGGCCTCCATGGCCAGTCAAGGCCGGTTGACAGTCAGCTGATAATCGAGTTGTCTTAACTCTGGGTATAAAGGGACTCTAGTGCCCGCGAAATATAGTTCAGCCGTGTGATGTATTGTGTTGCGGCTGGACCGAGGATCAATCGCAGTTGAGTGTCTATATTGAGAGAGTATGGCCACTGGCGTTACCACCTCTGATTGGCTCAGCCATCTTAGGCTGAATGGAGCCCTTAGGACCCAAAACGGCGGACGCCATGAATTAATATAATGCAAAATTACTCAAAATGTAGTTTTTTTTGCTTATCATAACGAGAAATTTACTTAAATGCACTATTGCGACTTTTTTACCTATTTTTAAAACTAATCATGTGCGATTTTTGAGAAAAATGATCTTAGATGTAGTAAGGTTGGCAGCAAGTGCGGTTGGTGATAACCGTCAAAAGTTGGCAATGACCCCCCTCCCATCCAAAAAAACCAAAACAAAGCACCGCCATTTTTGGGTCCTAAGCCTCTCCATGGGACCCATGCAGTGGCCATACTCTCTTAATATAGGTACTCTAGAGCTGCGTTTCTGTCTAGAAGTTGTCCACAGGATTTGTCGCGGTCCAGTGATTGGTGTCTCCAGGCTCACTGCGTTGGTATAGCTTCCGCTGTCGGAGTATGCTGAAAGTCATAGAGAAAAAAAAGGAGGTGTTTGCATCTTGAGGATTGTGTACCCTGTGACGTAGGTCGGTACAACCTGGTCAGCAAAGTCTGGAATATGAAGTATGAAGAATGGACCATAATGTCCGATTTTTTTTGCTCAAATCAACTCATGATGTAATTTCAAATACTTTATGTAGAATGCATTTTTTCCATCAACTACACCATTTTCAAGAAAATCGAAGATCAAAGTCGCCGCCCAGACCTACGTCATCAAACAAATCCCAAGATGCCCGAAATGCAAACACCTCCTTTTTTTCTCTATGGCTAAAATCAGTTGCAGCTTATTTTCTCGTCGGATCGGGTAGAGCGTGTGAACCCGATTCTCGTTTATGGGGCTCACCGAACGGATGGTTGGTGCTCACCGGAGTCATCGTTGGGATTCAACCCGTACCCGGCGAAACACTGGATTTGGTGGATCTGGCGGGAAGCTCTATGATTGATCCGCACTGGTGGATGGGTCGTCGCTCCTATGATCACTGAAGGTGGTCGTGGAAGTCGTACTTACGGGCTATATTGACATACTGTCATACTGTCCGCGTGCCGGGCTCAGAGGCCGAAAGTTCCGGGGGTAACATCCAGAGCAATCTAAGCTACGGCTCCTGCACCCGGAACTTCCAGCCTCTGAGCCCGGAACGAACAAAATGTCCACATAGCCTGTAACTTTTTTTTCCGATGTCAGCAATTTCGTTGGATTTAAGATGGTCGGATGAAATTGACGCGAAATTTGCTTTTCAGGATTTTTTGCGGTCAAGTTATTGATGGGTGTTTCCAGACTCACTACGTCGACATAACTTTTGATTTTTTCGAAATGTTTCGAATTTCCAATTTAAGCGTAATTTGAATTAGAAGATCATTCTATATTCTTCATCTATAAAACGCGACTTCCTTGAAAACGAAGCCCCGCAGAAGAGAGCCAAAATGACCTTTTTTCGAAAATCATATTTCTCCCGGTGTCCTGACAATATCATTTTTATTGGAATTAAACCCCAAGTATAATACCCTGAAAAATCAGAGATATTATCTTGTAATCCCCATTTAACTCACATAATCTAGTCTTTTAGAGGCCATGGATGAATGCACTGCTGAAGCTTTTCTGACTTCTCTGGTTTTTCTGAAACTTCCTGAAGCTTTTATCCCAAAACTGTCATCAAATTCCTGGGGCCGAATTTTGTCGGCTCTCTCACACGGAGCACAACATCCATCGATGATTCCAAACTGCACCACCGGCCAATCAGAAACGCTAAGCCGGACTTACGTGCAGTCGAGACCTGTCCTAAGTGTATTTAAGTACGGTGGAAGGACCGACCAAATTCGGCCCCCGAAAGCACGCTGGTATTCAGGTTCAGGGAAATTTGAGGAGGCATTTATCCAACTGAGGCGTGAGAAAGTTTTCGTAAACGTTTTATTATAAAAAAAAGTCCTGTTTTGACCCATAAACACACAGACCCGAAAGGCTATTTCAAAACTGCAAAGGTGTTAACTCAAAAATCTTTTCCAGGTCGAAAATTCATTTCCGAAGAGCTCACGCTAAACCCATATCTTGAAATACATTTATTAATTTTCAGAAAAAAAAGAGCTCGAAAGCCTTTTTCTCCAAATGCGAGGATTGCCGGCAATAAATCCCGTTTATTATTTTTCATCGCGCGATAAAACTTAACGCACTGGAAAAGCTGTACTTCCGACGGCTCCACATTTTTCACCGCTGAAATATGGGTCGCCTTCATTCGACCGATATGCAGCCCGCCACGCAGTTGCGTCCTCCATTATAAATTCGCGGATCCTATCGATTCTCGCCCGAAGTGTCGAAGCGGCAGCTGCTGCCTCCGGGGTCCGGCACCAATAAATCAGCGATCCTTCAACGCGGATGCATAACCTATATCGCGGCTTGCAGCTCGTATGGGCCAGGGAAGATAGACTAATTCAGTGGCTGCGTCATTCGACTCATTGCTGCGAAACCGATTTACCGGTTAAATTTTTTAAAATCATTTTCTGCCGTGTTCAGCAGAGACATACAATGGGAAAAAAACACATTGGATCTAAAGTCCATACTCTTAAAAACATCGACAAGAAAAAATAATCTCGATTCAATCAGAATCTAGCTTAAATCAAGAACCAAGCCTCTTAATTTGAGCGGATTTCCTTTTGACTTAAGCGTAAATCTGATTGAATCAAGAATCCTTTTTCTTGTCAATGTTTTCGAGAGTCTGGACTCTGGATTCAATGTGTTTTTTTCTAGTGTACGTTAAGGACCCCGCATATTCAATCTTAGCAATTCAATCGGGCGAGGCAAACGTTAAATTCGGAACGCTTCTTTTCGTCGAAGGATGATTGATAAGCACTTGTTGAGGAAAAACTCCAATGGAATTTGCCTAATGAAGGCTGATAAATGTTGGGGTGATCATTTTTTGAGTTGACTTTTGCTGAATTGGTTTAGAGTTGCTCAATTAATTGCTTAACTTTCTTCTGGTCAGTCGTCATAAGACGAATTTGAGCGTAGACTTCCGAGGGTAACTTATGCACTATAGGGAGGGGGAAAAATAGTCTTGAATTTTTTTTCCGAATGTGTTTAAATAGACGGAGAAAATTCACAGACGATTTCAAGAAAACTAACGTTGCTTTAGTCACTTTCATAACGCAGTACACCGCCAGTGGAATCCATCAAGGTATAGATTTTTCGAAAGCTGGCATCCCTTCATTCCTTTTTGGAAACCCTCTGCAACGCCTGCAAGGAAAACCTCCTCAAAAAAAAAGAAAAAAACCTGGAAAATTTGCAATTCGAGATCGGAGATAAGCGTGTCATACCCGATCAAAATGGTAGCGACTGTTGCGAATGTCATGATTTGCAGGTCAAAAATTTCCATGCCCCAGACTTTTGATCAACATCCGCGAAAGGATTTACCGCTCCGCTTTGAGCTCCAATTTCGATCGGATATTTCCCGCCGTAGGTACGCATTTTTCCCTTCAGCCGTCGATATATCGAATACCGGATAACGCAGGCACCAAATCCTCACGCTTTGAGCTCTCATCTCAATCGCGCATTCTCGCCATCTGCAATTCTCGACCTCGACCATCGACATATCGTTCATTTTACGAAGGCACTAAATCCGTCCACATTCAGCTCGCATATCTCTCGCTACGCATTCTCGACTTCAGCCATCGATCCATCGAAAATCGGATGACGTAGGCACTAAATCCGTGCCGCGGTGGAAAGCAATTTCCCCGCCCGTTGACGGTGAAATATAAACGCGGATCCCCGGCGAGAAAACGTCGGACGTAACCGCGTATCTTAATTTCCACGTGAGCCCTGATTTACATATAAATCCACGCTCTTTAGGGCTCATATGGGGATAGAGATACGAGGTTACGCCGGAGGAGCGACGAAAATAGCTAGCGTTACTCCCGATCGCCATGCTCGTGAATGTGTCGCCTGAATCTATGCAGCCTGCAAAGCTCCGCGGCTAAACGTGTCCTCTAACTGCTCTAATCGGGCACAATGCGATACCGCCCCTCCTTCCGCCCGCTGTCCGTCGTGTTCCTGTTACCTTTTGTGCGCTGCTCTGCGTCCTTATCAAAACTTTTATTTTTCGCTCCTTTACCTTTGACCTTCTTCACACATTCCGCCCGCCCTCGCGCGCGTCATGTGCATACATTGAAGGAAAAGCCGCGGTTCGGCCAACTGAGAGTCGCTAAAAGTAATTGTGTTGAGCGTTGAAAGGGACTGAAGATGTTTTTCGTCC